CACTGAGCTACACCTCTAGCCCTGATGCTAGATTTTTTTTTTTTAAAGCTTTTCCTTTTATGTTCGGACTAAGCCTTGTAAACCACCAAAAAAAAAAAAAAAAAAAAGTCAAATTCCCACTCCCACAACCTTGCCCATCTCTGTGGGCTAAAACTGATACCAACCCATTTTAGCTTTTTTAAACATTTAGAAAAACAAAAACAAAACACACACGCACGCAGACACACACACTTTGGCACATGAGCCTCTAGTTATCGGAGCATGTTCACCCCCTCATCCCAACATTTCAGAGTCATTATTTCTCAGAACAAAGACCCCTTCCGCCTCATGGAAAAGGTTGCCATGAAGCACTGCTGTTTTGAGTAGCAAAAGGAGGAGGTACAAACGCTAAACTGGCCCCCAAAACAGTTCCTGTGTTTAGCACTATAATTTATGCGGTGCTGCAAAACTTCTGTACCAAGATGACTTGTTTTAAAACTGCTGGTTGATTAAATATACATATACATATAGATATAAAAATTACTAAGTCAACATTTGCTGTTTTCAATGTGAAAACGATAAAATGTAATTCTGAATAATTGTGCATTTGCCATAGGGTCCTCATTTAAAGGGACCATAAAAATAATTTTGTCATAAAAAAACTCTTATTTTTAAGTTTTGTATTGCCCTCTTGTTCAAAAGTTTGGAGCAAACTTACTGAGTAAGCAGGTTTGGGATATGTTCCTGCCAGGGATCTGGAAGCCTTACATATAGTGATCCCCGAAGGCAGGCCCAGGAACCTGACAGCCACATGCTAGCTTCACGCTGCTTACAGTTCAGGGCTTAGCAGCGCCACTGACCCCACAAAGCATCCCTGGAATCAGAACCAAAGACCGATGAGGTCCAGCAGGGTCCCGCCTCATTTCATTGGCGGCAGATGCTGGGGCTGGCCAACTCCTCGCAGAGCTCTGGGGCACAGAGGTGCTGGGGCTCTGCCTTTTCTGGGGCTACTGGACAAGCAATGGGGGAGGAGCAGGGCCTGGATGGGGACCACTGAGCACCAAGGCTGAGGAGACCTGGGAGCTGACCTTCCATTAGGCTGGAGGTGGATCGAGGAAGGACGGCATTTCAGTGATGCAGAAGTTAGCTGTGCAGAAAGGAAAGTGCGTTTAAGGTAGCTTAGAAACAGATGACGACCACATTGCCACAGAGGGAGGAGCAAGGGAACCGACAGCTCCCTCTGCCTGCCTTGCCGATCTGGTTGGCCATGCTCCTTGGATTCTGTGGGTTAACATTCATGCTTTCTGATGCGAGTCTGCTTGTGACGAAACAGGAACACACCTCTCCTGGTTCTGGCAGGTACACAATTTTTGTGGCAAAGCTCTTGGTTGCCAAGGTCAGTTTTATTTGGCTGCTGTTCTGAACCGCTGTCACCGGAACTCATAGATGGGTGCACTGTGTTCGGGAACATGGGTCAGGTTGAGGGACTGATACCTGCAGTGGGAGGAGAGACAGGATGGAGGTAGTCATTTTGTTTGTGCTGAGCAAAGAGTGTTAGAAAATCCTCAATGAAGACCTAGAAGCACAGTTCAAGTGGTAGAGTACCTGCCTAACAAGTATAAGGCCTGAGTTCAAACTAAGTATCAGAGAGAGAGAGAGAGAGAGAGAGAATATGAATAAGGTTAAAGGAGATTGCAACTATGAAAAAAGAACAATGCAATCTCTTAAAATTGTTTTGGGGAGCAAACAGTGATAGAGAGGGTGAGATTGATTAGAATATATTGTAAACATGTATGGGAATATAATAGTGACCCCTCCCCATAACCAATTAAAAAAAGAAAGAGACAGGCACTGCCTGTAATCTTAACTACTCAGGAGGCTGAGATCTGAAGACTGAGGTCTGCAGTCATCCCTGACAGCAAAGTCTGTGAGACTCTTACCTCCTACTAACCACCAAAAAGCTAGAAGTGGAGCTGTAGCTCAAGTGGTAGAGCGCTGGCCTTGAGCGAAAACTTAGGGACAGCACCTAAGCCCTCAGTTCAAGCCCCAGGACCAGTATACACACACATACAATCAGGGCTGGAGGTGTGGCTCAAGTGGTAGAGTGCTAGCAGAGCAAGCAAGCTGAACAAAGCACTGAGTTCAAACTCCAGTACTGCCAAAAATAGTCAAATAAAAAGCTGAAGGTGTTAGTTCAGTGGTAGAGTGCTTGTCTAGCATGAGGAAAAAAAGAGGAAAAAGAAAAAAAATGCGGGGGGAGGATGAGAAGGGATGGGAAGGGGAAACAAAGGAGGAGGCTACAATGCTTGATAAGAAATGTACTCATTATCTTGCCCATGTAATTGTAACCCCTCTGTACAATATTTTCACAATAAAAAATAAATAAAAATTAAAAAAAAGAAAAAAAATGCATTAACCACTAGGAATATACAAACCAAAACTACACCGAGATGCTGCTTCATGCTGTCTTGGCAGCTATAATTATAAAGACATGATACAAGTGTTGGGGAGGATCTGAAGAAACTGAAATCCTCATATGTTGCTGATAAGAATGCAAAATGGAGCAGCCATGGTGGAAAGTTTGGTAGTTCCTCAGGAAGTTAAATATAGAATTCCTGTATGACCCAGCAATTTCAATCCTAGGTATATGTCCAAAGGAATGGAAAGCCAGAGCTCAGAAGCTGTCCACCTACATTAATAGTAGCATAAGTCACAACAGCCAAAAGATGGCTGTTTAAATGGTGAATGAAGAGCTGGTGCTGGTAGCTCACGCCTGTAATCCTAGCTACCTAGGAGGCTGAGATCTGAGGATTATAGTTCAAAGTCAGCCTAGGCAGGAAAGTCCTTGAGACTCTTATCTCCAATAAACCACTCAGAAAATCGTAAGTGACACTGTGGCTCAAGTGGTAGAGTGCCTTGAGCTTAAGAGCTGAGGGACAGTGCCCAGGGCCAGGGCTCAAGCCCCACGACCAACCCCCCACCACCACAAAAAAATGGTAATGGATTGACAAAATATTGTCATGCAATAGACATACAATAGGGAATTCTTTGGTAATAAAAATGAGGTTTTGATACATAAAACAACATGGATGAACTTTCAAAATATTATACCAAGTGAAAGATTCCAGAGCCAAAGCTAAATATTTTAGGATTTCATTTATATAAAAGATAGGGAGGGGTTGAGGTGAAAATGACAGCTAAGCAGGTAGGGTTTCCTCTGGTGAGAGTGAAAACGTTTTAAGCAGGGGGTGTGCTCAGTGGCAGAGTGCTTGCCTATCATGTTTAAGGCCCTGTGTTCTATCCTCAGCATGCATTTACTCACTATGTGTGCATACGTATGCTCACACATATGCGCACGTGCACATGCACGTGCATGCAGGCATGCGCGTGCACACACACACACACACACACAATTCTAAACTCAACAGCCACCTAACTTTTTTTTTTTTTTGGGTCCGGTTGTGGGGCCTGAACTCTGGGCCTGGGTGCTGTCCCTCAGCAATTCAGCCCAAGGCTAGCGCTCTACCATTTAAGTCACAGTGCCACTTCCGGCTTTTTTCTTTTTTGCTTATGTGGTGCTGAGGAATGGAACCCAGGGCCTCAAGCATGCAAGGTAAGCGCTCTACCACTGAGCCACCTTCCCAGCCCACCTAACTTTATTAATATATAAATACCATTACTTCTACACTTTAAGTGAGGAAACTGCATTTTAGGAAAATAATATCTCAAAACTTAACAGAAAGGATTATGAAGAGCTGGGGTGCTGGTGGCTCATGCTTATAATCCTAGCTACTCAGGAGGCTAGGATCTGAGGATCACAGTTCAAAGCCAGCCTGGGCAGTCCGTGAGACTCTTATCTCCTCCAATCACCCACCAGAAAACTGGAAATGATGCTGTGGCTCAAATGGTAGAGCACTCACTAGCCTTGAGCTGAAGAGCTGAGGGACAGCACCCATGGCCCAGAGTTCAAGCCTAATAACCACCAGAAAAAAAAAAAAAAAGGATTTTGACAACTCACTTGAAAACAAAAATTACTGACAGTCTAATGCTAAATGAGGCATTTGAGTTAATTTAGGGTAGGATCACTCACAGTCACTAAAGAATGAACAAAAGGAAAACCAACAAAGGGTTCCATCTTCAGAAGGGAAATTGGATTTTATATTGCTTCACCCTCCAAGTAGAGCTAGGTGCTTAACACAGGCAGCAAGAGTTGAAAGTGTCCGCCAAAAGCTGCTACAAGCAAACATGGATGTAAACTTTTGTCCTTCACCTTGGAGAAGGCACAGCAGGAGAGTCAATTCATAAGGCCCCTAGGCCATCAGACTGAGACCTGATAGAACCAGTACATGTAGGACCAAATGGCAGTTGACCGTAAACACTACGTTGTCCACATGATTAAATCAATTACAGTTACTGTTAAATTTGTGAGGAATAAATACAAAACCAAGAAGATTACACTAGACATTACTGAAACTAAAGTAATGCTGGTAGAGTGCTTGCCTGAAGCTGAAGAGCTTAGTGATAGCACCCAGGCCCAGAGTTCAAGCCCCATGACCAACAAAATAAAATAAAGTAAAATAAAATAAAATAATGCTTATTTAGTGGATGTAGCTCAGTATAGAACAAGGCTCCAGGTTCTACCACATACACACAAAAAATAGTATTTAGAAATTACCTCCTTCACCCAAATACTTCATTTTCATTTGCTCTGTGGATAACAGAAACTGAAACCCTTTAAAATAGAGGGTGAAACCATTTAAATAGAGACTGAGCATGAAATCTTATAGAGACAGGCCCAGAGATTCTCTTCCAGTTGTGTGCATGTGTAGTGGCCCTGGCTGTTGAGGTCCTTACCATTCTGAACTCCGATGATAGTAGTAGCCCTCTATGGAGGCTGCTGACTTCTGAAAGCAGATGTAATAGAACCCGGCAAAGGAAGCACCACTGATGTCTTTGATTGTATGGTCTGGGACCAAGAACTGCTCCTGCACACAGATGAAGGATTGTCAATAACACACCACTCTAGGGGGCCTCCTGGTTGGCATCAGGGGATTCTAAGGGTCACTTGATAAAAATATGACTATGTAGTCTGCCCCAATATTCTGGGTCTCAGTCTGACTTTGGGATGGCACCCATGTTCTACTGGAGCATTTCATGTGCTAAAGTAGCAAATGCATTCCTGAGGATTAGCAAATCAGAGAAGGGATCATGGGCCCGAGATCTACTGATAGCCACCTGCCAACCTGTCTACTTATCAATGAGACCACAGACCGAATGGCCTGGAAAGAATAGGTTTTAGCTTCAGTTCGTAGGAACTACCACTGGGCTCTGGGGTCTTAATCTCTAGAACAATGAGTTATTTCTGTTAATGTGTGATTGTTCTGAAAGAAGACTGATTGCAAAGAGCCCCTGCCACACTCCCTTCCAGTTTTAAAACTCATCAAAACAATCAGAATGGCAATGCTCATGACCAGGCAGGTTACAAAGATGAGCAAAGGTTTGAAAGGCTATGTCCTTATTTGCATTCCATTGGAGACACTGGGTCAGAGCAGGGATTAAGTTGGCCAGAAGCCCACTAGTTTCACCCTGAAAGTTCTTTTGTGTGTGTATATGTGCTGGTACTAGGATTCGAAGTCAGGAGCCCACACTCAGCTTGCTCTGCTGGCACTCTCCCACTTGAGCCATGATTCCAGTTCTGATATATAGTTATTTAATTTATTTATTGCTAGTTATTTTAGAGATAGAGTCTAGTAGACTTTTCTGCTCAGGCTGGCTTCAAAGTGTGATCCTCCAGATCTCAGCTTCCTGAATAGCTAGGATTACCAGCATGAGCTACTGGCACCTGACTTCTCTGAGAAATTCTTTAGACAAGAAATGTCATTGCTTTAAAATAAAAGTTTTTTTTTAATGCTGTGAAAGAACTTATGTTAGACAAGTGTGCTCTTAACACTAAGCTACATCTCAGTTTTCTCTACCTTATCTGAAACTAATTTAGGATGGGGTGGGAGGGGCAGGGAGTTTGTCTAGCTAAGAGGTTGACAGCTTGCCTAACAGCACAAAGCTGGGTTCCATCCCCAGCACGGGGAAACAAATGTTAAATTAGGACAAGTTAGAAGCTGGTAGCTGAAATGTATAATCCTACTCAGGAGACTTGGACCTAGAGGATCATGGTTCAAAGCCAGCTAGGGCAGGAAAATCCTCAAGACAGAAACCATCTTCAATTAACCAGCAATATGCCAAACTACAGATGTGTGGCTCAAGTAGTAGAAGTGCTAGCTATGAGCAAGAATGCTGAGCTAGAGTGAGAAGCCCTGAGTTCAAACCCCAGTATAGGCACAGACACAAAAAAAGTTAGGAAAAGATGCTTCCTTTAAAGGTCTGGTTGGCATGCTTCCTACTGATGGCAAGCCGTTGAAGGGTAGGGCTCAGCCTTTGTTCCCTGCACCTGGCACTGTCTACTGAAGTAGTCATAACCTCTTTCCCCAAATGATCAGCTATATAAAGATGGCAATGAGGGCTTCAGGTTTGTTCTATGAAAGCTCATAAGGCTTCATGATTAAACAGCTTTTTCTCTACAAATCTGGCACTGGGAATTGGAAGGAGGTGCATGTTTTCAAAGGTACTTAATGTGTGCTTCATGGTTTTGCTATCCTGAAGCTGTAAGTATAGTGCTGTCAGAGCAGAAACACAAAGGACTCCCAAGCAAAAGCCAGTCCCATCACCAGATGGAGCTGAGGGCTGGTGAGGGGAAAATCCACATTCCATTCCCGGTCCCTCATTTCCTGAGCAGAGGGCCCTGGGCAAAGGATGTGGTGGAAGAGACCAGTCACTCAGATGGCATTTAAGCTCCAATGAGAATAGGGTTCAATGATGACTAAGTTCAAAATCTACAGAACAGTTGGATGACTCAACCTGAAAGCTCAAAGAGACTCTTTGGTGGGAGAAAGGAAGGGGAGAAGATGCAAACTAAAGCATCATGGGTGCCCACCTGGCAGAAATGCACCTGTTAGCCACTAAGCAGTGAAACCAGAGAAGCAGCTGGGATACAAGTAGCTCACCCATGTGTGCGCTGGAGCTGTGGCACTCCTGCTTTTTACAAGTGTATCATGATCCTGCAATGAAGATATACCATGACAAGCTAGGACAGGGAGCCCTTGTTGGAAGGTATATACCCTCAGTAGGGCAGGTTTGGGAGTGCACCACAGGTGCTAGCATATGGATCTCAGGTGACAGCTGAGGACCTTACCTTCCACCTCATGAAGACATAATCCCCATTCTTTAGTTCTTCATAGTCAAAGTCATCTGAATTAAATGATTTTGCATACTGATAAAAAGCCAGAAACTTGCCCTGAAAGCAAAAAAAAAAAAAAAAGGAAAAGAAAAAAAAAGTCTCATAACTAATCTACATAGGGAGGGGCTGGTGTCAGGACTCTTGGCTCCTGATGAAGCTGGCCAATATTGGGTAATAGAGAAGGGGACTATATTGACACCAGGGCATGCACATCTAAACTTCTGGCGGACACTTAGGCTCCAGGTAAGGCACTGCTGGACCAAATGCCCAGTGAACATGGCCTTGAGGGAAAGGCTAGAGGGTGGGAACAAACACAGTTATTACAAGAATGAAAGTTAGGAACAGTTAATGAGAAGGTCTCTGTAAGTAAATCTATAGGGGATAACGTCCTACAAACTTAGAAATAGCATGTCCACCCACAGAGGAGAGGGATGTGGTAAAGTTCACGCCTTTGGCCTCATAGCAGGATTCTGCTCAGGTAGAAATTAAAGACACGGCAATACAGAGCTAAATTAAAAAAGGAGAGCTGGGAGGAAAAGTGGCCTTGTACTTGCCAGGCTTGGGTTCAATCCTCAGTATTGTGGGAAAAAAGATGCAAAAAAATTGTATCTTATGATCTCTTATTTTTGTAAAAAGACAAAAAAATAAAAATAAAAAAGTAGTCATCCCTAAGTATCTACAGGGAATTGGTTCCTGAATCCTTGCAGAAACCTAAATCCTTGAATGCTCAAGTCCTTTATATAAAATATCATAGTACTTGCATATTCTATGCATATTTACCACATCATTTAACTCATCTCCAAGTTATCTATCTATCTATCTATCTATCTGTCTGTCTGTCTGTCTGATCTATCTATCTATCTGTCTGTCTGTCTGTCTATCTTTTGGTGCTGGTAATGGGGTTTGAACTGAGGGCTGTGCACTCTTGCTTGGCCTTTTCTGCTTAAGGCTGGTGCTCTCTACCACTCGAGCCACTCCTCTACTTCCTCTATAGGTTATTTATAACATCCAATACAATGTAACTGCCTTGTGTATTGTTGTTTTATTGTATTGTGTAAAGAACAGTAACAAGAAAAAAGCTGGTTGTTGAGTTAAAGACATTATAGATAACTTTTTGTCTTGTCAAATAATTTTAAAATAATTATTTAATAAGAAAGCATCTTACATAAAAAAACTCACAATAAAAGCTTAAGGTGATATATTCTAATCATCCTGAGTAGATCATTATATAATGTACATATGAACTGAAACATCACATTATGCCTCATGAATGTATAATAAGTATTGTGCTAATCAAAAAATTAAAAAGTCAAGATACAGAGATGTTAAGTCATGGGTTATTTCAGGCAATTATTTTTATTCTAAGTAGATTAAATATGTAGAATCCTGACTTGATGGTAAGACGATGAAACCGACTTCAACTGTTACTCACAGGAAATTTTTTTTTTTGGGGGGGGGTCCGGTTGTAGGGCCTGAACTCTGGGCCTGGGTGCTGTCCCTCAGCTCTTCAGCTCAAGGCTAACGCTCTACCACTTGAGCCACAGCGCCGTTTCCGGCTTTTTTCTTTTTGCTTATATAGTGCTGAGGAATCGAACCCAGGGCCTCATGCATGCAAGGCAAGCACTCTACCACCGAGCCACCTTCCCAGCCCCATTCACAGGAAATTTTGAGGCTGAACAGCAGGCCTCTATAGGAAAAATGATACCACAGGTGAAGGAGGACCAGACAAACAGGGGTGCAGTACTGGGCACACAGGAGCTCTCAGCTCTGATGCTGCCACCAGTATGCCCCAACCTTTCAGACACTTAAATCTTCCTCATTTCTTCAGATTATCAAAACATGAATGACTATTTAGCTTTTGGTGTCCACATACTACAGTCAAAAAGGTGTGGCTTTCAGAAAAATGTTTGAAAAGGCTCTAGTTTAAACTTAACTCCAGCTCAGCATTTTAAAGACATCAATAAGCAAAGCTATCACCCACAGTGAGGCCTACAAAGGCCTCACTAGAATTCTCACAACAGGCTGGGTGTGATATGGAATAGGAGGATAGTTTAGAGAGCCAGACCTGAGGACCAGTAGAGTAAGTTCTACAATCTTTACTGACTACCCCAGCCATTTCTGGTGGGTTTACAGAAGTTAAGTATCTTGGACATCCTCTGCGTTAAACAAAAGTTCATCCTCATTATGGCTAACTAAACTGAAGGCTCTTCTGATAGAAGAAATATTTTAAATTATTTTATTTTTAAATTAACATATATTTGAGAAAACAGATTTTTGAAGATATAAGACTTGAATGACAACTAGAGAAAAGACTCAAGGACAGTAACTCTAGGTTGTCTTAAAGTGTTCACCACTTGGAAATCAGAACCTTCCATACTTAACAGCTATAAAGAAGATTTTTCCATAGTGTCTAGATGTACTAGGACAGGGTGAAAAGAAACCATGTGGTTCTGACTTCACTGGGTTTCCACAAAGAATGTCTCTATCTTGGGTCAACCCTAACAGAGGCAACTGGTGTTTCATAGGTTTCTCCATGTAGAGGTAACTGGAAAGAAACAGTGGAAAGATGGATGATGCTGACAGGTATACCAAGTGTATATGGAACATGAAGGTTGCACATGGTCAAATAACCATGTGCTATTTTTTTCTTCTTCTGATACTGTGGTTTGAACTCAAGGCCTTGTGCTTGCTTTGTTTGCTTGCTTAGTTGTTGCTCTACCACTTGAGCCATGCCTCTAGCCCTGACTTTTGCTGATCATTTTGGATATGGAGTGTCATAGATGGTTCTTCCTGGACTGGCTTCAAATCAAGATCCCCGAGATCTCAACCTCCAGAGTATTAGTATAAGCCACTGATGTCTGGCACAAATGTGCTATGTAAGAACTTTTTAGAAGGAGGATGGAACAATCTAAAGCCTGTATGTAGGAACCTGTTGCCCCTCACTGCAGAGCCTCCACTTATTATCAGTGAGGGCTCCTGAGTTCTGTCAGCTCTCCAGCTAGCATCAAATTCTAGGCAGAGCACAACCTTACCCAGTGCTTCCGATCAACATCTTCATCTGCATCCCACTTGCGAGTTAAGAAAGGGTGTTTTTTGCTGATTATTTCTCCTTCAAAAAAGGTTGTAAGAGTTGGATACTCCTATAAAAGAGACAAATAAGATATTGAACAAACATTTTTTTGGATGGATCATACATGCTAAGTAATTGTTCTACCACTGAGCTACATCCCCAGACTCTGAATGAGCATTTTAAGTGTGTTTAAACTTGGGAACTGAAGGTAGGACCTCAAGTCTGCTAAAAATATACTTTCCTACTGAGCCACATACAATCCCCATTCCCTTGTTTTAACCTTTCAGAAAGAAGCAATTTTATTCTTTTTTCCCATCACATTGCAAATAATCAAAACCAGAGTTAGATTCAGCTGATTTGCCACTGGGCTGTAGAAATAAACCTAAACTACTCATTATATAACTAACTGACGCTAATAACAATTCCATATATTAAAAAAAGAAAGAAACCTAAACTGTGAGCAAGGGGCTTGCTTGGTGGACTGAACAGTGTGAACACTGAACACAGTATATTACTGACTTGGTGTCCCTGGACTATAGAGGGGCTAAAGATGTGACTTGAGTGGTAAAGTGGTTGTTTAACAAGGGTTAAGCTAAGTTTAATTCCCAGTACCACCAGACAGAAAGATGGAAAGACAGACAGACAGGAAGGAAGGAAGAAAGGGAGGGAGGGAAAATTTTCACAAATGGAAATCATCTTTTATTTGCGGGGGGTGGGGTAGGGGGCAATACTGGTTTTTGAACTCAGAACCTCATGCTTGCTAGCCAGGCACTTTACCATTCTGGTTATTCCTTGAGCCCTTTATGTTTACTTTCTAACTTTCTTCCTTCTTCCCTTCCTCCCTCCCTCTCTTCCTTGCTATTTTATTTCTTTCTTCTTTTGTCTGTTGTAGGGCTTGAACTCTGGGCCTGGGTGCTGTCCCTGAGCAATTCAGCTCAAGGCAAGAGCTCTACCACTTGAGCCATAGTGCCACTTCCAGTTTTTTGGTGGTTTATTGGAGATAAAAAGAGTCTCAGGGACTTTCCTGCCCAGGCTGGCTTTGAACCATGATCCTCAGATCTCAGTTTCCTGAAGACTTAGGATTATAGATGTGAGCCACCGGTGCCCGGCTATTTTCATCATCATCATCATCATCATCATCATCATCATTGTTGTTGTTGGTGGTGGTAGTCATGGGGCCTGAACTCTGGGCCTACATGCTGTCCCTCAGCTCTTCAGCCTAAGGCTAGCGCTCTTTCAGCTTTTTCTGCTTATGTGGTGCTGAGGAATCAAACCTAGGGCCTCATCCATGCAAGGCAAGCACTCTATCACTGAGCCACCTTCCCAGCACATTTCTTTTTTTTGGGGGGGGGTCCGGTTTGTGGGGCCTGATCTCTGGGCCTGAGCACTGTCCCTCAGCTCTTCAGTTCAAGGCTAGGGCTCTACCACTTGAGCCACAGCGCCACTCCTGGCTTTTTTCTTATGTGGTGCTGAGGAATCAAACCCAGGGCCTCAGGCATGCAAGGCATGCCTACTCTACCACTGAGCCACCTTCCCAGCCCATTTCTTTATTTTTTGAACAGGGTCTTACCATTATATTTATTCTTGGGACCAATTTGGACCAGGCTCCTCTTATTTATGTTTCTTATGTAGCTAGGATGACAGGCATACATTAATACAGCAGCTTTTATTGATTGAGATAGTCTTGCAAACTCTTTGTCCAAGTTGGCCTGAAACTACAATTTTCCCAATCTCTACCTCCTGAGTACTAGGATTATAGGCATTAACCATCATACCCCCAGTCCAGAAACCTCATCACTAAGGCACAAACTAAACAATCTGTCTTTGGGAAGGCCTACTAAGGGAAAAAGTACCTGACATGAGATTTTAATCACTGAGCTTTATTATCTTTCTCAGGAGTCCTACCAGAGTCAGAAGGATAAAATGACAAAAGAGTCCTAATATATATAAAGTACCTGTGGTTTAATCTGTCATTTCCCTAAGGGATGATTCTGGCCTGATTTCTCTCCAACACTTTAGTCAGTATCTGGGGGTAACAAGACATTTTCTTTTTTTTTTTTTTTT